ATTAAAACTTAATAAAACTAATAAAGCTATTTAAATATTTATATTAATTCCCTTTATTAGGATTAATGGCATAAAAGTAATTAAAGCAAGAAATGGGCTCTTATTATAAAGGGATATCATTTAGTAATAGCTATTTAAATTGCAATATGTTAAGATTGCTATTAATTGCAAAAAGGGCGTAAGGGAAATAATACCTTTAATATGGATTAGTTTAATAACTTAATTCTAAATGTTTAATATATAGCGAGGTATAAACTTTTGTATAGCTTAAAATTAGCTAAGTAAAACTTTAATTAAATAAGCCTTTGGCTTAAGCATTACATTATAAAATATTTTAAAGCTAGTAAGAAATGCTTGCCTTAATATATATAAGGATCTTTTTTGCTTGCTTATCTTAATAATGAATATAAATAGAATTTAAAGCGCGTTAGCTAACTTAAAATAATTGGAATAGTAATGAAATTTGCTTAAGGATGATTTAAAAGGCTTATAAGTAAGCTAGCTAAGTAATTAAATGCAAAGCATGGATATTAAAAGTAGAAGTATTATAAAAAGTAAAAGTGGAAGCGGAAGCTTTGTGAGAAGTAGGAGTGGAAGTTAGTAAAGCTAGCATGTTATGCTTAATGTAATGATTAAAAGGAAAAATAAATTTGCTTTTTATTTTATAAAGGTATTTAAATCTTTAATAGCTATGCTAATGCTAATTATTAAAGTAAATTTTAATAATTAGGAGGATATAATTAATAAATATATTATTAAGCAGGTTTTAAGAATATTTAAAGCTTTTATAAAAAAGCAAAAGCTATAATAAGATAAATAAGCAAGGGATTAAAGATGGTAATAATAATTAAGATTATAATAAGGTAAATTTTAAAACTTAAAGGCTTAATTAAAGATAGTAAAGTTTTGTTTTAGCGGTTTTTGCAATACCTATTATAAAGTACTTAAAAAGGGGTATATTAGCAGGTATAGGGAAATATGTAAGAAATAGTATTGCATTAAATTCCGGCTAGCTATAAAAAGCTAGCTTTTATGCTTATTTTAAATATTCTTTTAAGAAATTAACTCTTCTTTTTTCTTATATATTTAGTGCTTTAATTAAGCTTTTCTTATTTTTAAAATATTTATCTTTTCTTTTTCTTTGGCTTCCTTTTATTTTTATCTTTTCTCTTTATTACGTTAGAGCTCTTCCTTAAGTTGTCCTTAAGAGGGTCTAGCAAAACTTGTCCCCTATTGTTTGGGTGGCTTGTTTTTAATAGCCTTAATATTTATTAAGTTAATATAATAATTTTTTAAGCTTTTTAAGATATATTACCGGAATTATATAATAAGCTAAAGTATAAATATAATAATAAGGTTAAAAGTATAATTATTATTAAGTATTTTTAATTATAATTATATATTATTAATTTTTTAATTAAATAATTTAATATATTAATAATTAATAAATTTATCTTAATATTTAATTCATTTAATTTATGTGGGAATAATACATATGGGCATTATGTGCAGCGTGCCCATGCAGTGGGTGCGCTGCAAACAATGCACAGATTTAGAGGTGCAAGGTTTAGACTAGTCTTATTAATAGCAGCTGCCAGCCGGTGCCAGCCGGCTGCCAGCTAGCGGTTACGTGACCCGCGCACGAACCACCATAGCTAGCCTATAGCCAGACAGGGGAAGGCTGCAGCTTTGCTGCAACCTACCCTCCACATTATAGCCAATTTAAATATAATCAATTTACTATTAATTAATATATGTTAACCTAGCTAACACTAATTAATGCTTGCTTAGCAAGCATAAATAATTAGGTATTAAAGAAATAAATCTCATTTCTTAAAAGCTTGTTTGCTTGCAATAATTCCATTAAGGGACTTTATATTAATAATAATGCTATAAGCTATTAAAAAGTTTAACTAAGCATTAAAAACTAGTTTATAGCGTTAATACCTAATTTCTAATTATATTTATTAATGTAAATCGTTAATAATAATAATTATGAAAAGCCTTAATTAAGAAGCCTTTCTTAATATACCCTTAAGCAATTATAACCTTCCCTAACCATTAAAAGCCCTTTTATAATACCCTTAATTATTAAATAAATTAACAATAAGCTTTACTTAATCCCATTTAATTTATGGCAAACGCTTAACTTTTAAGTGAAATTAACTAATTTATAGCAAACGCCCAGCTTTTAATTATATTGCCCTTATACCCTTAGCCCTCCTTATGATACCCTTAAGAAGCCCTTGCTTAGCACCCTTAAGAAGCCCTTGCTTAATACCCTTAAGAAACCCTTACTTAATACCCATAAGAAGCCCTTAAGTGGCAACCCTAAGAAGCTCTTGCTTGGTACCCTTGAAAAGCCCTTTTTTGCAATTAACACCCCTTAGGGCACTTAATTAACGCCCCAAGCCCTCTAACCCTTTAAAAAACCCTTAAATACTTAACAAAGCATAAAACACTTAAATACTTTAAAGTATTAATAAATAATATTTCTTTTAAGCAATTTATGCATTTAATTAGCATGCTTAATTAAAATACTTTAAAGTATTAATAAAAAAAGCAACTCTTTTAACTAATTTAAAACCATTAAGGGGGATAATTAAGATTTATTATAAGTTTAGCTATATAAATAACTTAATTAAATCTTTAAGATATTTACCTTTTAATAATAATTAACATTTAATTAATAAATATAACCTTTCCTCTTTTTAATGCCTTTTTTATTAATGCTCTTTAATAAAATCTTAAGCATAAATTGCTTAAAAAGCTAATAAAGGTTAATTTACCAAGCAATAATAGCATTTAAGCGCCATTACTTATAAATAAATAGTTTAAGAGCTGGTTATTAGCCTATAAGCATAATATAAAAACATCCTTTTCCCCTTCCCCTTTGCTTTATAATTAATTATTACGAGATTTACCTTAATAGCAATAATCTTTATATTAATAATAGCCCCTTTTTTTAATAAAAAGGAGGTTATTAATATAATTAAAAGCCTTAAGGGTTATTTAAGCTATAATAAAAATCTTTTTAATAAATTTTAATATAAGTTTTATAAATAAATAAAGGAATGCTTTTAAAAGATTAATTAAAGGCTTTTTTATAAGCTTAAATAAATATTTTATTATTATAAAATATATATAAGATATAATTATATGTTAATAATAAAGGTATTAATTATTTTAGCTTAATTAAATAATTAAAAATTGCTTTAATAACCTTAAAAAGAGTTTATAATAATAACCTTTTACTTATAATTAAAGATATATAAATATTAAAAAAAGCTTAAGCTAATTAAAATAAAGTTAATTATTATAAAGCAACTACCTTTTCCTCTTTATTAATTATAACCTCCTTCTTAGCCAGCAATACCCTTAATACAAGCCCTATAGCAACAACCTCTTCCGCAATAATAATAACAACCTCCTCCTTATTAAGAAATATAATAATAGCAGCCATTATTAGCTTAAGCTTAATTTATTTCTTAGGTACCTTAGCTAACTTAGTAATAAAAAGAAAGAAGCTGCTAAAGTAATAATTAATTAATTAAAGCATAATATTTAAATACTTTAAAGCTTTAAAGTATTAGTAATTTAATGATTTAATTAAGCAATTTAAGCAACTTAAACACTTGCACTTAAATATACTTGCACTTAAACACTTGCACTTAAACACTTGCACTCAACCCATTAAAGCAATGGCCACAAGGCACTTAACCCATTGTAGCCCCTTGAAGGACAAGATATTTACGTTAACTAAGCGATTTAATTAGCTAAGCAATGATTTGGAGGAAAAGCATGATTTTGGAGCGTTTGCATGCATACATATAAAAGACTGCTAATGTGGGAATAGTATGTATGGGCATTACATGCAGCGTGCCCATGCAGTGAGTGCGCTGCAAACAATGCACAAATTTAAAGGTGCAAGGTCTAGACTAGTCTTATCAATAGCAGCTGCCAGCCGGTGCCAGCCGGCTGCCAGCTGGCGGTCACGTGCCCCGTGCACGGACCACCATAGCTAGCCTATAGCTAGACGGGGAAAGGCTGCAGCTTCGCTGCAACCTACCCTCCACACCATAGCCGATTCAAATACAACCAGTCTGCTATCAACCAGCGTACATTAACCCAGCCAACAATTTATTTATATTATTATATAACTTTCTTAATTATTTTATTAACGCTAGTTAATAGTATAAGCATTATCATTATTACCTTTAATTATTAGCTTAGCTTATATGCTTGGCTGGATTTAACTTCCTTATTCCGTTGACAATTCTTACTTATTATGGTGGAGTAGGCTTGTAAGGACTGGCTTGGCTGCCGGCTGGACACTTGTGATGCAAAGATGGTGGGCAGGTATTGCACAAAGCATGGCTTAAAGGCTGGGATATAGGCACAAACAATACCAAGGTTGCATTCTACAGTTCCCTAGAGATCCTGTTCAGCACAGTCCCAGCTCTAATTGGAGCTTCGGAGGAGACCTAGGAGAATGTGGATCTGATATATGGCGATGCAGCAGACACTGCAATTAAGCAAGTCTCAGCGTTAGTTTCATGCACACTCATGACCTCATGTGGTTCTTAAAGGTTACCCACAAGCCGCCTGATGCAAAGAGGATGAGGACGGTGCAGAAAATAGACCACTAGGCCAAAAGACCTACTGCAAGGGCATTTTGCTTGCCCTGCAATCCAATTATATAGTTACACCCTCTATTTGCTGCACCAGAGGAGTGATGCTTTCTGTACCTTAAGCATCTAGAGAGTTATAATAACCTAAGTGGGAAGAAGCAAGATAATTATGTTAATTATAATGTTGGCAGTACTAGGCGTTATCATTAATGAAACCTTGTTCACACACTGGCCTTGGATAAAAAGGTCCCACTGTAATGAGACAGGCCGGCAGAGAAAAATACCCATGAAGATGTAAATGGATGTGTAGAGAGCCGTGATTGTTAGTACCGTGTAGAATGCTCGGCGGAAAACGCGGTTAGGTGACAGTCAAAGATAGATGGCCAGGATAGACAGTTTGGTAAAGGACACGCGGCTGAAATAGGAAATTGTTGTTGCCAGATTCACCTGAAGAAACGTGTCAGTACTATGCTCTCTCTCATACTTCAGGGAAAGCAGACTCACTGCCAGATATGTGATGAAGTCATCATAAAGCACATTCCACACGTTGTTCAGGCCAGCACCAAGTTTAACAACTGGGTTAAGATAACATTAGTATGTTACCCGTGATATTCAAAGGCTTGTTTCTGTGTATTGAGAGGCACATAAATGAGATGAACCCAGCCATTGAGATTGTGACAGGATCTTGGAAATGTCAGCAAAGTGTTCACTTCAGTTCATTTCCTGCACACTTACAATCATCCCATCCCAGGCCCCAACGTGTGACATGAGTCCTCGTAAATAATCTCAAACTTAGAGCAAGTAGCGCAACAATTGTATTTACAACGGCCATTGGCACTTCACTCCATTGAAAGGTGGGTCCACTGTCATCCTATTTTGTCCGTCGGGCGGCTCTGCCACGTACATTGGTGTGGTTGCCATGAACTCACGCAACACTAGTGCGATAGGAGCATGATTGAAGGTGCACATCGTAATTCATCGAGGCAGATACTTTCCGAATATGGGTGCCAGAAGAGACATGTCACTCATGTTGGTCCTTTCATCATCCGCCAATAAGAAACTGTTGAAGAAATTATGCGTATAGAGCCAAGACCCATCGTATATGGGCAGGCAAGACTACCACGTCCCCACTTCCCGTCCGAATCAAATCATGGATTGCAGTCTGGGACTGTAGACACCCTGGGTACAGACGACACCGCAAGCTCATTTGCGGCCTTGACCTGAAGTGAGCAAGGCATTTATCGTTCTTTGGGTTGATCTTCAAAATTGTGGCAGACCGTTTCACTTATCTGCTCTTCCGGATCATCTATCACATTTGATATGCAGCCAAGACTCTCAGCATCACAGGACCTTTACCGAGCCAGGTAAACACAAAACTGTTGGACCTGCTGACCATCCCATTCCATGCGTGAGGAATCATCTCCGTGTCACATATCATTCCACGTGAATACAGGTATCCTCTCCCTTGTTTAAACAAAGGAGGCTAAGACGCACATAATTTTCGACTGGTTTTGAGGCCCACGTGCAGAGCCCCTGATATTCCTTGCAAGCCGAGGTTTTGCACAAGGAGAGAAGGCTCATTTGCTGTGCCGCAGAGAGACTTTTTTTCACGTCGAATCCGCACTTGCTGGCGAATCTGTGTCCAAATTGCTCCCTTCATTCCTCACGGGTTTCTCTCTGATACTGTGTTTCGTATACGGGGACAGCTACTGTCTGTAAAAGCAATTCCCTTCATTGGACGAAAACAACGGTACAACTCTGCCAGTAATAATTTAAAACGCTCAAAATGGGCTCTCACACAACTCCAACGCTTGAAACGGATGGAGACAAGGTGACGCCGGTGTACAGGTTTGATGACACGGCACTCAACCGCATTATGCCGGTATGCCAGGTCCTCCGATTCCGAGACATCATGGATGCCGATGTCTAGCACACATCCCTTGAGACCCTTCTCAACATTGGAGACTGGAGGAAGCTTCGAGGCCGTTGGAGACTTGACGTAGGTTGAAGATGAAACTTTTGGCTTGCTTTGAGGTGCATTGATGGAAGCACAGGCCTCTGGAAAACTATTCATCCATGTGCCGCCCACGGCCACGCGAGCACGCCCAGCTATTCGTTTCAAACACACGGAAATGACAACGTCCATCGAGGCCCATCCCTTGGTGTCTCAGATCGCACGGCTGCGAAGTGACCGCTCTTCCGTGCAGACATCCCTGTCATCTTCGGTTCGTTCTCCTCTTGACTTTAGTCAGGAATGCATGTCAGATTATTAGTTGAAGTCAGACGGAACTTTGGTCGGTTCTAATTCCGCCAGAATGGCCGCAAGATATGGCACATCTCACAGACCAGAAGGGAGACTACCCGATTTTGGGACTTCACGTTATGTCTTTCGAAGATGCAACAGTCGTCATACTCAACTACAACCACGTTCTCATGGATGGCGGTGGCTCTAAGGCCTTCTTGAAAGCATGGACAAATGTGGTCAACGGCAGGCAAGGCAATGTCGTCCCACTGGCAGGTGCGTGGAGCGACCCGCTCGACCTCATCCGCGAGGACATCAAACAAAAAAGCGACGAAGAATTTGTCTTGCAACACGGGGTGATAGACATGGGAGACTTCCTACCTGAACGGCCAGGCCACGACACTGCAAGATCCGGGTTGGGACATGTCTTCGCCCGAGTCCCGCTGGCGTGTGATATGCCTGACGTCTAGAGCTGCGGACGTGATTTTGAAGCAGGCAAAAGACACCTTGCCTCCCGGTTCTTCAGCTACCGAAGACGACATGATAGCCGGCTGGGTTGCCAAGACCGTTGCCGGCTTTCTGCCAGCCACCCGGCCCATCAACCTGATGCGAGTGTACGATCTGCGCCGCGTCTTGACCAAAGCTGGCATCTTGGAGCCTGAGACGGCACACGTTCAAAAAATGTATCAGGTGGCTTGGACCTTGACCCCAGAAGCAAAACATTTGGCACGTGCGCCACTGGTAAGATCGCAATAGATCTTCGCTCGTCTCTCGCAGAGCAGACCTCAATCGGCCAAATTCGGGCGTCGATTAAGGCGCGCCTGGACTCGGGCATGACATCGCTGTACAGAGATCCCAAGGGCATGATATTCACCGCCAACAGTCGCGTTAAGAACCATGACTGCAGGAAGATCGACTTCTCCGGGGCAGTCAAACGCACGTGTGCGGCTGATGGAGAAGGGAACGCCGTGGAGGAGGAGAGGTTGCTGGGGGCTGGCATGCGTGATTATGTCGAAGCGCTTGTTCAACTCCCAGGTGGGTCCACCCCCGGGTCCGAACTTCATCCAGGGCGCAATCGACAGGAATGGAAACAGAACTATGTGCACCTTCTTGTCGAGTGCAATGTGGCCCAGGATGGAGGAGGCATTGAGGCAGCTCGATCAAATGGCTCAAGCAAAGTAAAGACACAGTCTTTGGGCAGTCAGAGTGGAACCTTTGTGAATTGTGTAGTGGGTGAACTGAATTTGGAGCCCGCTGCACATATGTTTCTAGGACAGGTTACCTCGAAACGTTTTAATTAGCTCATCCAGTGATGCACAACCAGATGGGTCATATGTTAGCATTTGACAAGCTTCAATGGTGTTGCTTGGGAAGTTGGCCCGTCTAAGTGACTGATGAATGTGGAAAGCAACTAATATAGGCAGGGACACCCAGACCCTACTGGCACATCGCCCACCGTGCGCTGGCTATCATAATCAGATGCGGGTTGTTTGAGTGCAGGATAATCAGCGCTAAAATAACCAGACATGGGACAACCAGACATGGGACAACCCAACGTGCGATAACTAGACCTGTGACAACAAGATGTATGATAACTAGACACGGAACACCCAGTCCGAGGATGCCGTCGCATATGCTTCTCGATGATCTGAACAAAGCGTGAGCCATTCAGTCTGTCTGACAAAACATTGTATTCTCTCTATATTCAATGAAGTATTGGCATGTGTAAAAGGTTCTCATGCCAGTGGAGGCCACGCTAGTACCTTCGTCGCAGCTTCTCCTTGGCAGCAGGATCCTAAGACAGATGTCAATACTGACTGCACTCGTAAGAACACAGGCAATCATCTCGAAATACAAGTACTTACGATAAAGCTACAAGGTGGCAGCAATGGTGCTGCCCTCTGCTGGCCGACACCAGTGCTTTTCTTCGGTGTGGCCGGGCCGACCGCTGCGCCCACATAACCTGGGCTCAGTACCTTTTGACACCCCTAGCTACACATTAAGAATACTGGCGGCGTTTGTGATGGAGGAGTAGGAGGAGGTCGGGTTGTCTGTTTTAAGTTCAGCTTTGGATGCATGCAAAGAAGAACTGCAATCGTTGACTTACGCGTTTGCACACATTTCTTGACTAAAGATCAGGATCTGAGCGTTACTATGGGCAAAACCAGAGTTGGATCTCATTACTTGCGGTTGGCGGCGACAGCGGCAGCTTTCGTTTTTTGCTACGTGCCTGAGAATGTCGTGTTAGCAAGATAATGTCGATGTCGGACTTGCTGATCCATTTTAAGTCCCGGAATGTATCGTGTTGGCCACATGGACGTAACTCACTGCTGTTGTTGCTGCTTATTAAGTTAAGTCGGTTTAAGATCGTTCAGATGAGAAATATGAGGACAAAGGCTCGTGTCTGGCTGGCTGGCTGGCTGGCTGACTGACTGACTGTGGTTGAGTTGTATCGGGAGCATTGTTCCGTGCTGGGCATGGCCACATGCCGTCTGGTGTCCATGGCGAAGGGAATGCGGACGAAAGAAGATTGGAGACGGAAACAGTGAGAGTAGGAGATGTTCTCTCTATTGGAATTTGCTAGCACCCTTAGACGGTCAACTGGCGATTATTTGAAAGCATTTGTGGCGACAGCAAAAGTAATGTGGAAGTCAACAAATGGCTGCTCTGAGCCTTCACAGCGCTGGGTTGTTATTGCCAGCGTTACCAAAAGTTGACCACGTTGAATAGAAGTAGAATTTCGGCAAGGGCGTTCCAACTTCCAGATACCGGGTTCTTGAAAGCATAACAGCACGGAACTAACACAGGCTTACCCAGGGTCATTGTTGCGCTGCCGGAGCTGTGTTTGTCACGATCACTTCAACCCTCGAAGACCAACGGTATGTACCTTATGTATCCCGAGAGGAACAAGTGCCAGGGGCTCCCGGACAAACTGGCTTCGCCTTCAAATACAGAAACACAACCAGATAGCCCCGCCCCGGCCTCCAACATGCCATCTCCTGTGAGTGCTCTAGATATGGCTCGGGGATAGCAACATACTTACTTCGGACGAGACTTGTCGCCACTGCGGCCGCCTCGGCCACGCCTAGGAAAAGTGCTGGTCCCGGCCGGCAGAAGGCAGCACCATTGCTGCTACCATTGGTAGCTCCGTCTACCACAACAACAAAGGCGAGAACCTCCTGGCCAAAGCCCGGGAGCAAGAGGCGAAGATTGCCTCACTCAACTGGCAGATTGCGGCCTCCGAGAAGGCGCTTAAAACCTTTGTCACCGAGGCAGTTGCAGAAAAGAAACTGGCAGACGCTGCTGCCGCTGAGGAGAAGAAATTTGGTGGGGACTCCAGCATGGCTTCTCGGCTGTTCAGACAGATGATGGAAGATCAGCAAGACGGCGCCGATGAGACTCATCAGGAGGATACCGGGGCTCCTTAAAATGCCCAGGGGTGACTGCCCTGCCCTCATGCCCGCCTTCACATTTTGGTCGCCTGCGCCTGCCCATATCGCAGCATCAGGCTGTGTGTCTATGATGCGCATGAGTTCTTTCTACGTTCCCATCCGGGCCTCGGTCATCACAGACAAGACAAACGACACACACTCTCTTTACGGCTACCATTTTACCACAAGCCAGATTTTGAATGTCCTGCCGGCGATCACCAACTCGAGCGGATGGGCACAAACCTTGCATGATTTTCTTCCTTGACAAACACCAGCAGGCCTGGGACGAGACTCGACACCGCTGGTGACCATCGGACCTCCTCGAGACGAACGAGACAAACAAGAACCATGAACGTGGGTGGCATCATCAGCATCGCGGTGGGAGGCATTTGCATCATCGTCATGCTCATCGTTCTGCTGTGCAGAATAGGGGCTTGGAGCCTTGCCGATGGGCTGGAGAGGAGGCACGTCGTCTGAGCTCGACGATGCGGGTGTTGTTGCCCGAGCCGGGCTCAGGTGGACTGGGATCCGGCAGACAATACCGAACGACAGGACAATATGGTTTGGTGGATGAGCAGCACATGCACGTCCGCACAGTCGTGGGCAGGAAAGCCATGGTAAGCAGGATTGGACGGAAACAAGACGGTCAGGATAAGCATGGTATGGGACTTAGGCAGATGCCCTTCCCAGGTTAGCCCGTCATCATGATAATGCGGCTTGGCGGCACAGACGAGTGGTCACTGGTCGACGTGCAAGAACGCGTCCCTTGCATCTCATCCCGGCGCGGCTGACGCGGTGTCCAGAAATCCATCGTCCACTGGTGATGAGTGAGTGGTCTACAAATATGCTTGACCCCTCTTTCCATAAACCTGTAACAGCGTCCTATTTCTTTCTCCCTCACCACCACCTTCCATCATCACAACCCTCCCAAATCCACGCCCTTATTCACACCACACAACAACATGGCCGCCCCAAACATCAACCGAGCAGGCTACAACCGCCGCCTCGCCGTTGTCCAGACCATCCTGGACAGACACCGCCTGATCGCCACCGCTGTCACCCCAGTCGAGTACGACGAGCGCTCCCCCTTCCCGTACAACAACTTCCTCTACAAGCTCGACCTCGCCTCCCCGCCACCGCAGCAAACTTCGGCCCGAAGCCATGCACCACCCTGCCTCCCGTCGACGGCGTATCGACATTGATCCTGAAGCTCTCCAACCCCAAGGCTGAGGGCTTGAACAACGCCAACCGCGTCGAGAACGACGTCATCGCCTCCTCCCTGATCCGAGAGTCTCTCTCCCAGCGCGCCCCCGACATGGCCGACATCGTCCCCGCCATCTACGCTTGGGAGCCTTTCACCGACCCGTCCCCGGACACAGACGAGGCCTCCTCGGGCTGGACCCTGATGGAACACTGGCCCGGTTCAAACCTGGATGGGCAATTCGCTGGGATGAGCGAGCAAGAACAGCAAGCCATCATGGCGCAGGTCGCCACCATCCTTTCCGCCATCCAGGCCGTCCAGCTGCCCGCCGGCGCCAGCGGACTCGGTGGCCTGACCATCGCCAGCGACAGCATCATCGTCACCGGCCAGCGGCCCCTGCTCCCCGGCGGGCCGTGGTCCTCCTACGCGGACATGCTGGCCGCTAAGCTGCGCTTCCAGCTCGACGGCGACGCGGAGAACAGCACCGTGCTGCGCGGGTGGAGGAACAACGAAACACTCAGGGAGAGGCTGGACGCCTTCATCTCCGGCCCAGCCATCGAGCGGGTGCTGCAACGCGGCGGCGTTGACACCGGCCACCGGGTCCTGACCCACGGCGACTTCAGTAAGGCCCTTCCCTTCTCCACGGAACTGATCTCCTAACAGGTACTTTGTTTTTCTTGCGCGCCTTGCAGCCATGAACAACATGCTCTACGATCCCACCACGAGGCGCGTCTCCGCCCTGCTCGACTTCGACTGGGCCGCCGTCGCGCACCCGGCGCACGAGTTCTTCTCGGGCCTGCACGACCTGCAGGGCAGCACTCACCCAGATGACGCGGCCCTGCAGTCCGCCGTGCTCACCGGGGCATCCAACACCACCACTTCTCCCGCCGCCGAATGCGAAGAATCTGGCGCCGACGAGCCCAACAAAACCTGGGCCCTCGCCAGCTCCTGGGATGCCGCCCTCCTCCGCGCGGGCGGCCTGCGGCCCAGCAGCCTCGCCGGCGTCACGACGCTCGAGTCGCTCCGCGCGCTCGAGGACCTGATCGCGCCGTTCGGGCTGTGCAACACCGTCATGGTCGGCCGCACGCCGGCCGAGAAACTCCAGGCCGCCAGGGCCGACACGGAGGCGAAGCTCGACGCGCTCCTCGACAGCCTCACTCGGCAGGCGGGCCTCTAAGCCCAGCGCAGTCACCCAATCCCCCTCCTCTTCCGCGGGCTCAATAGCCAGGTAGGTCAGGCCCCGAACTAAGGGGAGCCCGCGAAAGGGGAAGGGGAGGAAGGGGAACACGATGCTTGCCTGGTATCAGACATGCCGTCGTCGTGACGGAGCAGGGGAACTCCCGGTGACGAGACGGACAACGGGAGCAGACGTTCTAGACGAAGGGAGTCAGGCCCCATCCCGGGTGCTGGCTTGTCCTATGTGGCCTCCTTTCCATAAGGGAAAGGACGCATCATCAAGTTGATGATGCATGGCTATAAACCTTCGCAAGTCTGCCTCCGTCTTGTTTCCCGGGCGGTTCCTCATGCGAGTCATTGTCGTATATGTACCACATCAGTTGCAAAATGGCTCGTGGACTTGTGTGCTCACCCGCTTTGTCGAGAGAGGGGATTTGTCGTGGGGTGGTCCAATCGGGTCAGGGGATTCGGGTGGAAACATGGACTGATGGGAACAACGACGGTATGGCAACTCAACATTTGGGATTGGCTATTGTGGCGGCAAACGGACGTAGGCACATGCTCGTCCCCACCCAGTATTTTATGTACAGCAATGATTCTATCAAGCCATGCCAACACAGACTTCGTCATACTTGATTCTCTTTACCCCCAAACGGTATCCATAGCAATGCTTGCGCTCCAGTCCGTCGACTTCATCGTACTTGGTTCTTTTCACGTCGAATCAGAATCCACAGCAATACTTGCACTCTGGCGTGCAGACTTCATCATACTGCATTCTTTTCACTCCGAATCGGAATCCATCGCAACACTCTCACTTCTCCATCCACCCCTCGGAGGCGGGGGTGACTTGGCCTTCTTGGCCTTGCTCTTCGTCTTGCCCTTGGCTTTGCTGGCTCCTGCAGAAGACTGGTGGATGTTCTCGGGCTCCGCCGACGCCTTCTCAGCTGCTTCACCGTTCAAGTGCTCGGGGATCCGGATCGGCACGGCCTCGTCTCTCTTCTTCCCGTGGGTTCTCTTACCCTTCCCTTTGCCTTTCTTGCGGTGCTGCTGCTTCTCAGCACCCTCAACGTCCTCTTGCCCAAGATCAAGGCTGCCCGATCTCGGGGTGTGGTCTCGACCTCGCTGCGCGGGCTCGCCGTGCTCATCGTCGTCGTTGCCTGGGATCCGAAGAATCTGACTCGAGACCTTCTCGCTGGCCCGGCTGCTGGCCCGGCTGCTCGCACTGCTCGACCGCCGCTGCCTCTCCCTAACGGCACGAGGCTCCTGGGAGGGTGTCCGCCACACCTTGCTGCCGGGGTTGGTATTGACAAGCTTCTCCTCCACTTGCTCGTCGGCCTGATGGTCTTCGATGCGAGGCAGGGACTGTTGGACGTTGTAATAGTTCAGTAAGTACCGCGCATTAGACTGAACATCCTGCTCCTCATGATCTGGCACCGTCTTCCGTAGTCTGAACCAGACTAACTTGAGACTGGGGCGCCGCCATTTTGCCCTGAAGCGCTCATCCACAAGCGAGTTCCAGCGGATTTTGGAGTCACTGGTTGCGCCTGAGTCGTGAATGGCCTCGATCACTTGGAGCTGGTCGTCGACACTCATCACGCGGTAGTCCTCGCGCGCGTTGGCCAGCACCTCACTCATGCCATTAATGGTCTTGGATTCACGGGAGGCTTCAGGAAGGTGGTCATTTCCGTCGCCAACGACGCCCTTGTCCTTGAGGTCCTGCCATTTGAACTTGCATTGTTGCCGATTCCGAGTGAGACCCATGGCTGCGCTGATCTGTTGCCAATCCAGAAGGGACTCGTCGTCAAAGCCTTTGGCGCGGGGTCTAGGACGGAATTGGTCGTTGTTCTCACGGTCGATTCTGATCTTGTTGAGGGCCTCTTCAACCGCTTGCTTGAGCATCTCCGTCTCGTCTGGCTTCCACCGCGACTTGCGCTGATGCCCATCTACAACGTAGTGATTGCGCCAATAATCCCTGATGTCCTTTTGATCGCGATTGATCAACGAAGCAATCGCAGCGAATTTGGTGCCATGCTTGTCGAACAAGTCGTGCAGCTGTTCCTTTTGTTCTTCGTCCCAGCGGCCGCGGCCTACAAAATTATTGTAAAGCCTGCGAGTCCGTTCGACGATTTGCCTTCTGGTTCGCTTGTCGATAGCTGCAACAGCATTGTCCCAAAATTCCTTGTGCAGCGGATTGGTCATTTCGGGCCGTTGGTGTATCATGTCGTTGAGTTCGGACTGTTCCATGTCGTAAGCCTTGCAAAACTGGTCTACTACTCGCCCGAGTGCGACCAGCTCTTCGCTGGTCCAGGGGCCGGTGGCGATCTCGCCTTGCGATGACCGCTTTCTTCTTGAGGCGACTGCGGCTCTGTCGCGATCGCTGGGATCAAGGCCCTTGCTGGATTTCTTGGACTTCTTGCGCTTGGACGGGCCTGCAAGTAAATCCTCCAGCTCGTCTTCCGATGCGCCGTTAGAACGCCGCTTGCGCTTTAACTTGGCCTGCTTAGGCAGACTCGGCTCTTGAGATGGCTCGACGTTGGTTCCTGTCTCGTCTTCGGGGCTATTGCGCTCACCGCGCATGACGTCCTTGAGCTTGGATCTTTGCGACAGAGACACTCGGGGCTGATTGTCACCCTCACCGAAGTCATCTTCTAGCTGCGAAAGCGAAAGTGATTCCTTCGAGTGGAGTTGGCGCTTCTTCTTCGCCTTCTTCGGCTGGGTCGCAGACACCTCGGGTTCCTTGTCAGCACGTGCTTCTGTATCCCGAGTATGAAGCTGCTGCTGGAGCTCTCGTTGGATCGCCTCTTCTGTTTGCAACTCGTCTTGAGCGCCGTTGTGCACAACAGCCTCCGCGCTCTGATCTGCAGCTTCATGGTCCGACTCTTCCACCACATCCTCGTGAGTTCTTCGGCGGGCAGGCTGTTGGAGCCAATTTGCAACCTTGTCCACATCCGTGTTCAGCATTGGGTTATCGCTCTGATGTTGTCGGCCTTTCTGAGCACTCCTCTTGCGAGATGAGGCAGGTGCGTCGGGGCGTTCGTCGGCATCTCCTGCCTCCGCCTTGCTTTTATGGGCTTGTTTGTGGCTCTTGGGCTTTTTGGCGGACTTCGCTTTTCTGGCCTGTTTCTCTGGAGGACTGACATGCCCATTAGCAAAGCCTTGATCGTCCACGTCCAGATCCATAGCGTCAATGCTCTGCTGGGCATTGTGCCAGCTCGATGAATGTGCTGAGTCTCTCGAGGTGGGTCTCGCGTCTTGGGTCCGAGCTGGAATGCTTTTATTTGAGCCTGTTGACGAGCGGCTTGGTAGTGTGGCTTGGTCGCCCGCGTCGAACTACAAACAACAAATTAGCGGATGAAGTGAGACCACTAGGGGTGCCGGTAGAAACTCACACTTTCGATTGCAGGCTTAACTAGCGGCGGCCGAGAGATGGACCTCGACCTCGACCTCTCCAGTCTGTCCAGTCGTGCCACACTGGGAGACCCCAAGTCGGACTCGCTCTCCGAGGAAGGAGGTTCAGGCTTAACCTGACTTGGTTGCAGATCTGGTGTGGCCGCCTCGTCATCGTTTGCCCTGTCCAATCTGTCGTCAACGATGGACATCTCTCGCTTGTGCATGAACGGAGACTTCTGGCTCGGGTCGTCGCCATCGACGATGCTGTCGTCGGCGATTCCGGCGATTCGGAAGGGCAGCTCGTGATCTTGGACGTCGTCCACATCGGTGTCGGGCTCGGTTTTGAGATGCGCTGATGCGATATCCTCCACACTGCTTGCCGGAATTAACTCTTGCTCCGCTACTTCGATATCCAGGGTCGGCGCGTGGCCTGCAATTCCGTTCACATCAGGTTGCTGGCCAGACGGTGGCGAGCCTCCCACAGCATGCGACACAAGCAAGTGTTGAGCATCAGGGCTCTGCACACCATTGGGTTCCTTGTTGCGCGACTTCTTCTTACTCCTGCTCTTCTTGTGAGACTCGGGTGCGGCCGCGGGCGCGTCGTTCTCGTCGGCCATTGCAGCTGTGGTGGCGTCGAGATGTCCGTTGGCCGCGTCGCTGTCCAAGCTGTCGCGCCGCTTCTTCTTCTTCTTCTTCTCCTTCTTTTTCTTTTTCTTGATTGATTTGGAGTGGTCCGAGTCTGAGGATCGAGCGTCGTCGCCGCCGTCAGTGCGAAAACCACGAGGCTTGCGTAAGTCGCGGACCTCGCCGGGGTATGGGGGAGGACTGGGGGACATGGGCGTGCCGATCACCCTGCCTCCGCGTTGCTCGTCCTCGGCTGCCTCAGCTGCCTCCTTCTGCAGCTGGCTGGACTCGTTGCCCATTGTCGTCATCGCAGACGGCGACGAAACGTTTCGACAGGCACGAGGCGCAGGAAGCTTGCAGCCTCCTGGGTGGCGCTAAGAGGGTGAGAGCTCTTAGCTCCTTCCGTCTGTTGGAGGCAGTGGGAGGTTTTGCTGCCCCGCAATTCGGTTTCCCTGCCAGGCCCCACTGCGGAAAGCTGCAGCGTGCTGGACCAGAGCTCTGCCCCACCGGATTCGAGAACCCCACGGCAGCAGGCAGGCAGTCGGTCAGTTGTCACAAGTGATGGTGGTGATGGGGAATGATGGATGATGGAGAATGGGGAGGCAGGTATCGGTGTTGGGTCTGTTGTCGTGTACAATGGTTGTACAATGGTGATGAAGCATCAAAGACCAGGGGTTTAATTGGAGTTTGCCCAAAACCTTGAGGAACGCGCCGCGACACGCGAGGAAAGGGAAAGGGAAACTTGGAGAGGGTGATGGTCGAATCGATTGGCCAATGGCACGGGGACAGACGCGTAAATGAACGTGTTGCAAGGTGAGCTTTGAGCTTAGGAGGTCTCGGATGCTGCCGTGCAAGCTCGATCTAGTCCTGCACCTTGTCAATGAGAGAAAAACCGCTTATGACCAAGGATGAGAAGGCACTTAGGGCCCAAGCTGTGACCAGACCACCTGCTCCAAGAAAGGAAGGTTGGTTGATGGATGGATGTCCTGGGAAGGAAGGCACCTTGGTCCTGCACTTTACAATTGACCACCTTGATGTCAAAACAGTTAGGTGTACCTACTTTGCCTCTCAAACACCTGTCAGGTCATCGTGCCTTTCGTGGTTTTTGCCTTGGCATGGGTGACACACATCTCCAGAGTCCGATCGGAGCTTCGAGCGAGCACATTTCAACCTGTCAGCCTTGGATGATCCTCCTGTCCGCTCCAGACCGACCCGGGGTCAAGCCTCCAACGTCAGCTTACCATCTTGATAAAGCACCAACCCCATGCATGCATCTCATCCCATCCTGTTTTGTTTAGGATATCTTGCTCCTTGAGATCTGTGTATGTGGCTGTCCCTGGTCTGGTGGAGGTTCTGGCCTGCTGCACGCCACTCACATGGCATTCATCGGTGAGCAAATATGCACTTTTCAGAAATGCATGTAGATCTGGATCATGAGACTAGATGCTGTGCTGTAAAATCAACCCATCTGGTAGCGTACATATGCATGCACCCATCCGTGGACTTTGTCTCACTCTTGCTGCCGCTTGTTTTTGTCTGCCTCTGCTCCTGCCTCTCCTCACCTCCCTTTTCTTGCAGAGGCGCGGGCACAGCACAGACCAGCTCAATTGACTCTTATTACCTGCACTGCACCTTCCCCAATGTCCCACCAAGGCCTGGTAGACCAGACCATGTACTTTCCCACACACTATTGTGAGAAGAGGTACTTGTGTGTTTAAATATCACTCAAATCCAGGGGTCCCCCATTTCAAAAGTGAACCCGCCTCCTGGGCCTTGGCTTCTCGCCAGCCAGGCCTGGAGGTCCGCAACCTGGCGGCCAAGAAACGGTTCCAGGTCCGCTCGTCATGGCCGGCCATCTCCTGCTGTCAAGGGCTATCAATGGACAGCTTGACTCTTTGTCGCCGTCGTCGCACAACAGCAGCCCGAGCCCGCCCTTTCGGTTGGCCTCACTCCGCCGGGTCCAATCTCAATTCGCCCTCTCCTTTCTCATCAACACGCCCTTGCCCTCATCAACAACCAAATCTAAGTCGTTCGCAACCCTCTTCGTAAACGTCTCATTCTTCTTTCATTTCCGTTCCGTCTAGAATTCCCATGTCTCTCTTTACGCTCCCATAGCGGAGCCAGCCACTCCTTTTTGTTCCTCCGTACAACCTGTCTATTTCCCTCACACATATCACTGGACAACCGCGCAAGCCATAGTGATAGGAGGAAATAGGCAGCCTCACATCATGGCTTCAGGCCAGCGCGTTTCCAGCGCCGTCCTGAAGCAGCTCGTGCGCTCGCATGCACCATGCAGGGCCGCGCACCAACATCATGCGCCCTTGACAGCCCACCACGCCCAGTTCCTGCCGAGAGGCCTCGCCATGCGGCAGTGGCACGGCGCAGCATGCACGACCACCGGGAATAAGACGCCGCGCAGCTTCTCAACCGGCCGATCATTACGCAAAGAAGACGCCGGCAGCAGCCGCCCTTCATCCTCATCTAGCAGCGGCGGAGGCGGCGGCGGGAGCAACTGGAACTGGAGCGGGAGCCACAATGGCCACGGCAACGCCCACGGCAACGAGGAGCCCTCGCTCGCGTACAAGATGCTCGAGTCGGCCGCGACGTCCTTCGCCTCCGTCATGGTGCTGGCCGTCGGGTTCGCGAGCGCCGCCTACGCGTACCACAAGTTCTACAAGAAGGTGCAGCTGCAGAAGATGGCCAACGCCTTCGAGCCCGGCGACCCCGTCCTGGAGATGGCCGCCCTGGGCAAGGGCATCACCAAGGGACACGCCCCCTCTAATGTCCACCGCAACGGCGACGACGTCAACAAGGACCACTGGGTCCAGCGCCCTGAGCAGGCCAAGGTCGACGCCATCGTCTCCGGGCTCGATTACGGCCATTACCACCTCTTTATGGGAGACAAGGGCACCGGCAAGAGCAGCATGCTCATCGAGGCTATGCGCAAGATCGACGGTGACGGCGGTAAGTGATTGAGTTGTCTCCCTGTATTTTTCCTGTCATTTGTGTAGGCGGTCTTCTCGCCCAGGAGGCACAGGTCGCAGCAACAAGAGGTGACACGGAATGAGTCACGAGTCCCAAGCAAAGGTAGGCGGGCGCAGTCCGTAAATAATTTCGAATTCAAAGACTGCGTCTACGAAGTAAAATATAGCTCCGTGGGGGCCTTTCTATTAGCAGGGTCTTGAAAACCCAGATGCCATTGGAATGTCTCCTCGACTCCGGAATGGCCTCACGCTGTCCGGATCATGGTAATCGGGACTCTGCCGTATGTGCTATCCTGTCACAACTCACAGAATGGCACCTCTTGTTGCTAGACCCCAGACCTCACAGCCAGATCCAGGCATTCGTGCGCAAGGACTACACCATTCGCGCCTCACTGGAAGACAAACGGAATTCGCTGACATTTTTTAAAACCCAAGTGGCCATGTTCGAAGCACACTCAGACCTAGAAATCTTCCGGATCCGGCTCGGCAAAGCTCTCGACTACGAGTTCCACGAGGACTACATCGGCGGGTACTTCAGCGAGAAGGGGCCAAGGGATGTAAGTAGTGACTTTGGTGTGAGACTTTCATGTTGCGTCAATCGCGTCCCCCCGAATGTTCTCAGCACGGCATGCGTGGGGTGGTACAAGAGGCTGTGGCATCTGAGACAACGTGCGCCCGCGTCACTTCAGGGGGCTGTCCCATGAGTGAGGCCAAGCACGCCCAGCCAGAACCAGCTGAGAAACCTATCTTGCCTTCTCCTACCACGATAGCGCTGACGGGAAACCCCCCCACCACAACAGACAACCGCCCTGCTAGACATCGAGAGGGCCCTCAACAAGCTGGAGAAGGTCGCCCTCGACCGGAGGGCCAAGGTCGGCCGCCCACTCGTGATGATCATCAACCAGATGCACCTGATCCGCGACGACGAGGACGGCAAGGACCTCTTCGAGCTGCTGCAGCAGCGCGCCGAGATGTGGGCCGCTTCCAACCTCGTCACCATGGTCTTCAACTCGGACGACTACTGGGTCTACGAGCGCCTCAAGCAGCTCGCCACCCGCATGGAGGTCCTGAGCGTCCAGGACCTTCCAAAGGCCCCCGCCACCGCCGCCCTCAAGCGCTACCGCGCCCGCTACTTCGGCGAGAGGCTGTCCGACGACCTCGCCACCCAGATCTACGACAAGGTCGGCGGGCGCCTGACCTTCCTCAACCGCGTCGCCAAGAGCAGCAACATGCTCCAGACGTGCGACGACATCAAGGAGGTCGAGAAGACTTACTTCCTGAACCAGTGCTGGATCCTTGGCGAGGAGATGGACGATGACGTGATGGACCAGCAGAAGTGGGCTGTAAGTGATTGAATCTCCTGTCTTCTGGATCGCTGAGCCGCCCGGCTCGTCACACACCATGTTCTGTCCCCTGTCAATACTCGGCCACATATTTCCAGCCTGTCGCGATGGCTCTGTCTTGTTCTCGACGGAATGGATGGGTATGATCGGATGTGGATAACTGCTGGCTGTGTCCAGCCCTCGTGGACGAGGCACAGTTCCCGTCGGCGGGCGTTCTTAAGGAGTGCAAGCAGCGCTTCCCGCTGGGATGGTCATCAACGAGTCGGAGAACTTCGTTTTCAATCCCGTCCTTCCCATGCGTGAGTTACTCAACTTACCCAGACAGACCAGCTGACACCTCCCAGGCCGCAGCGATGGTACTAGCCCTGGCCCTAGTGGACAAGGAGCGCGAGCTCGACGACGCGCTGACCTACGACCCGGTGATCGGCCACATGCTGCCGTCCTACCCGATGCACAAGGCGCAGGAGATCCAGACCCGCGCCGACTTCGTGAGGCAGCTGGACCGTATGAACCTCTTCACCATCACGAGCACCGCCCAGATGCGCGCCTCGAGCGTGCCCATGCACCTCGCCTTCCGCGAGATCTGCGCCCTGCCCGGGTTCCGCGACCACCTCGACGCCACAATCGAGCGCATTTCCGCCATCGAGAGTCTCGGCCGCACGCGGGAGCTGGTGGCCAAGGATCTCGTGCTGGGCGGCAAGTATGAGATTGCCAAGGAGGGCAGCGGGTGGGACAGCAAAGCCATCGTCTCGCTAAGGCAGCCGCCGGAGGAGGACGGCGACGGCGGCGACGACGACGACGGGAAAAGCGACTGAGTTTCCTATGGATCCAATAGCCGGTATACACTGGGAGTTGGGGCCGGCCGGTGCCGGATCGGGACCGGGATTGGATGGCCATTGTCCCGGTCCGATGGCCGGCATTTTCCTAATAGCCGACTACAACGGCAGTTGCTGTCTCCCACAGCTTGCCTTACCCAAACATCCTGATTTTCCCCAGCCTTGGCACAGGAAGCGCCAAGCTAGAGCCAAGGAGGACCTGCCTCACCGACAGAGACGTCCTCGAGACTAATCAACGCCACGCGCCGCATCGTTGACGGCTAGAGTTGCCTAGCCTGAAGTGGGAGCAGCCATGAGGATGGAATGACATTTCCTGGCGTTTGGGGGGCATTTGGAGCGTTGAGCGTTGAGCGTTGAGGGTGCAGGCAGTCCGAGCGAGGAGGGAAGAAAAAAAAAAAACAGAAAAAAAACAAGGAAATAGGCGGTGAGCAAGTTGGAAGGAGATTCCTGCTCTCGTGGACTGAATCTACCACGTGGTATTTATGTATTATATTGTGTAATATGAATTCGATTGTCCGTGATTCCGCGTCACCATTGCAGCTGACGGATGCAACGGTCGGCCGACGGTTGGGAGGCATGTTCCTTGTGCCTTGCTGCTCTTACTCCTTCTACCGAACCTTCTGCTTGTTCCAGGCACCAAATCTTGCGCAATATTGATAGCTCCGCTGCGCCGAGGCGGATCGTCAGAAGACAGACAGACATCGGGACAAAAAAAAAAGTGGCAAGGCTGCAGCTGCAACCGCCATCAGAAAAGCATGACTTCATGTACGTGGGACGCCACATCCCACCGCCCTGGATCTCGGTACCCCAGGGGGGGAGTACAGCACAGTCGGAGTCCGGAGTAAGCAAGATGTTAGAAAAGAGGATAGAACATGCATGCGCTGTGTAACACGAAGTCTTACAAGCCGGGCATATTTCTGCCGGTCGGCAAAGCAAGGTGGTCTCGTTTGTCTGTATGTCTGTCTGTCTGTCAACAAGGGACGAAGGAAGAGTAAGCACACCCAGATGCGAGCGCGTCCCCGTCCACGCTGTGCTGTGCCTCATTTCTTCCCCACAAAACAAACGAGCGCCCGGATGGCACCTTGATGGGTTTTGTTGTTGGCAAGATACAGATCTGCACGCTGGCCACATGACCGGCACCATGGGCGTCAAGCTGCCAACGATTCGCTGGTGTTGGACTTGGCGGTTGGTTGCAGGGTCGGATAGTCCCCGCTGTCGTGCATCGCACCATGGCGGAGTACTGGCAGACTGGGCAGACTGGGAGTGGAAAACACAAAAATAAAACCCCCAAGCTGGGTGAAAGACGGGGGAGACGACAGCTCGAAATCTTCGTGTCTCCTGCGCGCAGGTGGAGCGGCGCTGGGGTCAGACCCCTCCTCCGTCGGTTGATGCTGGCACTTGCACTGCATCTAGGGACCCTCCGGCGTGGACCATGGTGCGAGTTGGAGCAATTGTGAGATGTGAGATGCATGCACGGAGGAAAGATGGGTACAGCAAAAGGATTTGACACAGAGACGACGAGCCCGCAGTAGCGGGCAGACCCGCATCTCCTCTTCCAAAGGGGGAGCCCATCGTCGCACCAGCATGCATACGCTCGACGAGCTTCGGTTCAACTGGCCGAGAGTGCCAACCGCGTGCCCACCCACCCGCACCACAGCTGCTGCGGCCGCTAGCAGCAGCTGGAGCCTGGAGCAAGATCAAGTGCGCTGCGTTCCCACTCAATGACGGCATAGCTGCCCTTGCTCGTGCCCTTGCTCCAGACCCGCTTCTCCTTTCTGCAAGTGTGCGCAGTGATGTGCAGATACAACCACCGCGACTTGGGCCGCGATCCATCCCGTTGCGTTCTGCTGGCGCGGTTGAAATTCAATCTGTGCCCCCACAGCACCACAGGCACGGGTCGGCAGCGGTTGGCATGGCGCGATATCTTGTCCGGATGGCAGCCAGTCCAGTATTAGTGACCGATAGTGCGTGGGCAAGGTCACCGGCCTCGTCAATCAGTGGAGACGGTACACGTGCTGGCTGGTGACTGAGTCGGTCCAACTGAGGCCTGAAGCTGAGATTCAGGCCCCGCATGCAGAAACCGGATGTTGTTGAAGACACACGGCACGGGATGTGGCGAAACAAAAAGCGACTCCGAACGATGAGGGCTTGGGGGCCGGAGGTGTCCACGTCGCACGAGTCAACGTCGAAACGTGTCAGCGCCGCCGACGAGACTCGTCAAAAGCAGCCGCGTCGCTCATCCTCACCAGAGAGGCGCGCGCGTGAGTTCGCTGTCTGTCCATCTGTCTGAGTGACTGGACTGACTGGACTGACTTGACTGACTTGATTGACTTACTTGGGCCGTGATCGCCAGTGCCGATCGGAGGACCCAGTAATCGTGCCGATGGCTACCGTCGGTCTCTGATGACACCTTCCGCCTGCAATCGATTCAGAATTTGTGCCGTAGCGCAGCCCCTTGTCAAGAGCCGAAGCCACGAGTGATTATGGTCATTATCGTGATTGCTAACGCTGCCTGCTAGCATACGCGGGCAAGGAAGGAGAAAAGAATGGAATAGAAAAGAAAAGGAGCAACAAACGGGAGGTTGACTTGCACGTTGTAACCTGTCTCTCTTCATTCACTCACCTCGTGTTGCGACGGCAGACACGCCGCTGTTGAGAGGGGAGGAGCTGCACGAACGAACAAGCGCTGCCGTGGACGGACCGTGATGGATAAATGCATAACAGCAATATCGCACTGCTGGAAGTTGGCCGAAGTACAGCCTGGTACCATCGCGATTATCCTCAGATGACCTTTACTGCGTATAGCGTAGCGTCTGAGCCAGGTGGGCTGGTCTGAGTAACGGCTTCTTTATTGGCCGACGTACCAAGGCATTGGAAACTGTAAAACCCAGTCGCCCCCTCTCTCGTGCATATCACGGCCCATGCTGTGGTTACATGACCACGACAAGCAACAGTTCGCCAGCTATCGCTTGCTGTTCCATCTCCCGCTGCCATTAGGTCGTTCGGCATCGCGCCGTACGTCTTCGGGGCTCTGGGCGCAAATCTATTTCCAGATCTCAACATGCGCAGTGCCTAATAAACACTTGACGGGACTGCTTCGGTCGCGGCGCAAAAGAGCGTCAAAGCTCGCTCACATGGTTGATTGAAGCGGTTAGCTATCAAGGCACATCGCCGGTTAAGAGCATTGATAGCAGGGTGAAGAGGGGGTGGGTGCGCACAGATGCTGGACGCTGGACACTGATGAGGTTCGAGTGGAGCCGCCGGTCCCGTCGGTTCGCCCCGTTTCCGTCAATCGCAAAGTTAATGGGAGACGCTCGACCCTTTTTTCCCGCCTGTCTGGATATGGGCTGGCCCGAGCCCAACAGGTTCGAAATTTTGGAAGGTGCTGGCGGTGCTTTGATAGTCTTGGAGGGACATGGGGTTGTGTGCATGTGGATTCATCTGTGTCGTGACTTGCTTTTTTTCCCACCATGTGTTGGTGTTTCATGAGTGCTGCGGTGGTCAGCAGCACGGGGTTCTCCACAGCATTTCCCGCTGCTGTGCGTTGAAAACGCTGTCAGACTGTCAGGCTGTCAGCTGCAGAGGCGATCCCATCGGCAAGCCAGGACAGAGGGGTGACCCGACCCGATCATGGAGAATAGACGTTTCCCAGAGACGGACTGGGTCGCTGAGCTGCAAGAATTTCCCCTTTAGGCAAGCCGACCCAGTCAGTACTGGGCTGGTCTGGCATCCTTCCTATGCGCCTCAAGGCCGCGTAAGAATGTGGTGTACCTCCAGGATTTCTGCCTCACTCATAACCAATGCCTGGCTCATCTGTACACTATGTGTGCGGCATGCGCGCCGGCCCACAGAGATCGATCTGTCTTGACGCGACTGTTGTGAGATGAGGGCCTTGGCAACTGCTTTTTTCGTAGTTCCCCGGAAAATGGGAGAAAAAGCAAATGAGGCGGGCTCTCAGGGCCGTTCCAGGCCTTGCCAGGACGATTAACTCTAGATCAGGGTCCATTTTCTTGCAAGCCCGGCCGTCGCGCCAACAACGATGACGTCTATTTAACGCCTGTCAGTCAACTTCGCCTCGGGTGCGGTGCGGTGCGTATGTGGACAATTGCCATCATCAGTGTGCGATTGCCATCGAGAAAGAGAAGCCTGAGAAACCCAATTCGGCTTCCACTCGATGTCGACCGACCCCTCCGTCAATGCGGCTTTGTACCACAGTAGATCTGGTGGGCGGAAGCTAGGGTCCGCCCTGTTGGTGTCATGCAGGGCGTGGGGGGCGGTCATGCCCCAGCGACGGCCTTCTCGCGTCCTTCGTCCCCTCAGCGGCGGCTGCCAATTGTAAGCATTCAATGACGAGCGATCTCAAGAGCCGAGTCTCCAGTCACGATGATGACCTCCTCAATAGTTTGAATTCGACACCGCAGGACTCTCTGCAACAATTGCTTCATCAGAAGGAGGGCAAACTGGAGCGGTGAGAGTGCTGCAGGCACAGTCCTTTCTGACATTCCACCGATACTCTGAAAGCTGGGAATATCCCAGTTTGCCGCCGTCGGTCTAGACTTGCAAGTAACCGATCTGGTAGGACCATGCAATGACAAAGGGCTGATCGACAAGTGGCGCACCTCGGTCCGTCGAGCCCTAAAAGCCTACCTGGGTAGTTCCCAGTCGCCATGGAGCTGCCTTGTGTTCGCAGCTGCCAGCACTGACACTACAAGACTAGTAGTGCCCTACGAAGGGCTGGTGACCGCCGATGGCTGGCTCAGATCAACCCAACAGTCGCTACCAACCTAGCATTATTTTCCAATTCAGACCGGCTGCATGAGATGAGGCTTTCCTCCAGCTGACATGGCGAACGACTAGATGACGGGATCTCAAGCGCACACAGGCGTATTCGTAGTCTCAATGGCTGGCTGTTCGTTCAACGGGGTCGGCCCCAAACGACACTATACCAAGGTTATTTACCAGTCCGAACTTGCTGTAAG